CCCCTGAAGTGACAGCAAAGAATGCAGAGTCCACAGGGGTATATGAGGCCATGTCCACGATGTCTCTTTGAACAAGTGAACTGTTCTGAAGTAAGTAAACTTCATGTTGGGGGGAAGGGGTGGTATTTGCTTTTTAACAATGAGAAAATGAACCACAAAACCATCTAATGACTATCTCACTTGAAAACATGCAAACAAAGCCTGGGAAGAAAAGTATTAGGACTTTGGGAATAAACTCAATGGTAGCGAGTTGTTTTTTGTGCCCACATTGTATACGCAATTATGCATCTACACACACAATAAAGAAACATTAGCATTTCAAACCCTCCCTCCTCAACCAAAGGCTGATAGTCCCTACCACAGGAAGTACTTGGCCGCTCATGACATGCGTCCATGGTCAACATGAGAAGACATGGTCCGCTGGGTCATTGATAAAGAACATTGTTAGTTTCCCTCAAGACCTCCACTGGGCTTCTTTCTGAAGTCTTCAATGCTCCTCTCCAGCCCAACATTCCACAGGCTCATGAGGGTTCTTCCACCTCACTTTGTGGCTGAACATGTCTTGTACCAGGAACAGGAACAGAAACTAGGAGACCCTAGGCAAGAAGACACTTTCACTTGCCAGCCATAAGAATGGACCAAGGTAATGTCATCCAACCCACCCCCGATTTCCTTTGCCCAGAACGTGCACACTAGGATCTATTAAGCCTTCAGTTAGCTTTTCCAACTACCGGGAGATGATTCTTCCAGAGTACTCCTCTCCTAGGTCAACCTGGACTTCCTACACTGCTCAACATCCATGCAACACCACGGCAGAGTTTATGCCAAAATAGAGTATACACAAAGCCATCTTATTTTTTTTTTTTATAACTGGAGAATGAAAAATAGATGTAATTATTAAAGTCACTATTTGGTCTATAAATTGTGCATTATTCATATCAATACGAAGGTAAGCCAAAAAGTATTGTAATTAAGGTTCCAGTTCATCCATGTGTAGGTTTATTCCAAAAACATGTTTAAATGTCTCCACAATGGTTGCATGCAAATTCTCTGTGATACTTGTAGTTCCAGTGACTCAAAGTGCCAGTATACAATAGAATGAAATACATCCCAATTGTCATCCTCACAATTGTTGCTATGTTGAAGCCCATGGTTGCAACCAATAGTTGCCTTCCTCTTTCATTGACCCTCTGTTACCAAGCATGATTTCCTTCTCCAAGAAATTAACCCTTCCTTGTAAGATATCTTAAGTACAAAAGATGAAGTTTCACCATCTTCCCTTTTAAGAAGTATTCTGGCTGTATTTCTTCCAATACAATTTTACAATTGGATCGTACTTCTAGTGGTCCATGGCATAGTCAATATTCTTCGCATCAATTTTTCTCAAATTCTTAATCCTTTCATGCATAACCAAAACTGACAGAGTCAATCCCAACTCAACTCCAGAACGATAAGGCAGAGCATAACTCTGCGTGGTCGAGGCGGTAAATCTTTAAAGAAGCTCACCTTTCTCAGAGTGGTTGGGTTCAAACTGCTAACCTTAAAGTTCACAGCCTAACTCCTCATTCACTATACCACCGGGGCTCCTCACATGCATATAAGGAGACTGAAAAGACCATATCAGGGATTAGATAACTCTAGGCCTAAAAGTAACATCATTGCTTTTAGCACTTTAGTCTTGTGGCAGATTTGTCTAAAGCATCATATTGCTTGTTTTCTTGGTTGCTACTTGAGTATTGATTGTGGATCTAAGTAAAATTTAATCCTTGGGAATTTCACTATTTTCTGTTCAGTGATACTAACCACAAGCTGTTCAACTCTACCAGGTGATCCATGGGAAAACGATAAGGACACCTGCTACCATAGTTTTTGTCTCGAGACCCTAAAGCAGTGGTTCTCAACCTTCCTAATGCTGCAACCCAGTGGTCCTCAAACTACAGCCCGCGGGCCACACACAGCCCACCAAGTGTTTCTGCCCCGATTGTTTTACTTTAAAATGTTATATGAAAAAAGCATAGGAATTTGCTGTTTGCTTTTTTTAACTATAGTCCGGCCCTCCAACGGGTCTGAGGGACAGTGAACTGGCCCCGTTTAAAAAGTCTGAGGACCCCTGCTGCAACCCTTATACAGGTCATGTTGTGATGACACCCCCCTCCCCAACCATAAAAGTTTCATTGCTACTTCATAACTAATTTTGCTAGTTATGAATTGGACGACACCTGTGAAAGGGTCGTTCAACCCCCAGGTGAAGAACCGCTGACCTAAAGGGTAGTACTACTGTCTTACAGGGTCTTTGTTAGAATGGACTCAATAATTTTTAATCTATACGTGTTAGTCCATGTGTGTTAGTCTGGGTACATTAGAGAAACAAATCCACAGAAACTCATGTGTATAAGAGTTTTATATAAAGGTTAAGTACACATCAAGAAAACATCCCAACCCAGTGCTGCCCAAGCCCAAAAGTCCAACATTAGCCCATGTGTCCGACACCAATCCAAAGTCCTCCTCCATCTCACAAAACAGACGCAGTGATGCAGACTGCAGGAGGAAAGCCGAGTCAGTGAATGTGTAAGCATCGCAGCGCTGGCAAGGGTCTACACACGGCTGCTCCAGCACCCAGAGCTGCATCAGGGTAGGTCCATGTGGCTTCTCTTCAGGGATGTCTTGCAGGAAGTGAGCCTGGCCACCAGCTGAAGCAGGAAACTGGCCAAGGCAGCTAGCTGCAATCTGGGCGGACCATCAGAAAACGAGACCCAAGAACTAGAAAGGGGAGTTCACCAAGCCATTTCTCTCTCCACCCTTCAATTAACCCACGTGTTTATTAGTCAGGTTGGCACAATAAGCTTTATCACCAGGCTAAAAGTTGTAGGATTTGATCTTCACCAGTATGTGCTGCAAGTCCTCTTTGCTTTAACAAGCAAGACTATCATCTGCATCACACAAGCTGCTAATGAGCCTTCCCCCAAACTTGAAGCCACATTTATCGTTCAGGTTCTTGGATTGTCTGCTCAGCCTTTGTTGTTAGGTGCCATTGAGCCGGTTGGAACCCGTATGAAGCCAAGGTGTGTCTGATGTCTGACAGTATATTCCACATTCCAAGGCCTCTTCTGCATCTAGCTTGAATTTCTGGTAGTGCCCTGTCAAATGTACTGCTGCAATTGCTTCTGAACTACTTTTAATAAAAATTAACAATATGAATTAAGGTTAAAAATGTTCTGCATTCTGTTGGATCATCTTTCTTTGGAAAGGAAACACATAGGTCTCTTAATGTTGGCCAGGCTGCTGTCTTCCAAATTTCCTAGCAGAGATTAGTGAGCACCTCTAGCACAGTTTATTGAAATATTTCACTTGGTATTTGTCCTTTCTGGACCCTTCTTTTTCATCAGTGCATCTTGAACTTCTTTCTTCCACACCTTTGGTCCCTGATCTTATGCTACCTCTTGAAATTGACTAATAACCAATTCTTTTGGCGCTGTGGCTCTATGTATTCCTTTCACCTTTAATACTGACTGCATCATTCTCTATTTTACGGTTTGTGTGGGGTGGTGGTGATTATCAACAGGTTTGGGTGGTGAATAAGAATCCAGGCCAGGATTGTCACTATTTCCACTTCCATCACCTGCTTGCTCAGATGTAATAGACTTTGAAATTTTTGTCTGGAACTTTTAAGTTTTCAAAACTTTCTGCACTCATTCTTTAGAAGTAAAAAAGTCACAATCTAAGCAGTTTAACAGCATAACGACCCACCTTTTGTGCTAATATTCCTATTGTTGTCCTCAGTGTTTTAACTTCGAAAGCTTTAAGCTACATTATTCATTTTCCTATTCATTTATTGAGGACTAAATGGCAGAGTTTCCTATATAACTTTGGCTCTAATTCTCTAAGTTCATTACTAGGGTTCCCAATATGAGTTATTTTCAAACTATCATGCCAGTGTTTTGGGTGATTTCTTTGATTCAGAAAGCTCTGAATTGTTTAATCTACCATAAATGTAATTGCTAATAATCCTGAAATGAAATTACAGAAAACACTATCCATGACTCTAATGTATTTAAATAAAATTTGAGAATCAGTTTTAGTCCTAAATGGTAAATTCTAGTGCTACATGATCACCCGATGTTATCATGTGCTTCACATTTGTAATTCCCATTATTTCACCAATCTGTATTGACGGTCGTTTTCAACTATTCTAATGGTACTATCTGCCGAGTCAGATGATGTGATTATGTCACGCCCCAGGCTTTCTTCTTCCTCCATTCACACCCTACTCCCACAAACATGCCTGGGGAACTCTGCTCCTATGCCTTCTCAGGCACTGTCCTGATACAGATGGCAGAGGGCTAAGTGGTATTAACACATGGTTAGGGGTGGGAGTACCTGAGCATTGGAAGGGTAGGGTATTTGGAATAAGTGCATCCAGAGACTGGTAGGCCTTCTGGGACCAAGGAGAAACAAAAACGCGCTTAAGGGCAGGGCAGAGGGTGAGTTCTCTGCTGTAATCTAGTCTAGCAGACACTCCACAGGCATGCTTTGTCTCAGTTGCCCTAGTTTGGTTTCGTCTGAGTCCTACGCCTATTATCCTAGGCAAAGAAAAGCAGGTCTACATTTAAATATACTGCCAACAGTTATCTATGAGATAATCACCCAAAAAAACGCATTCAGGAAATATATTTCCCTTCTTCCAGAGTACATTCAGGATTTCCCTTCTCTTCTCATGTAGGATCGTGTGTTCTGTGGCCTTACCCTACTCTATTAGACTTTTTATATGACTTATACCTTCAGTCTTGTTATCATCTCTGATTCAATTTAGCTCTCTTCCCACTAATTTTAGGAATTATACTTGTTCTATTCTTGTTTTACATGATGTACAACCATTTTTTCAATTTTTGGTCTTTTGTCAAGACTACGCTTTCAGTTTCCTTTACATTACTAATTCAAAGTCTAATTGACATTTTTATCTAATGTACGTGATTTGTTGTAGTGAATAAAACAAGTCAGTATAATGTTGGATCTCACTGTCAGTCAACTGTTTTATTATTCTATTAAAAAAATGAATCTGATAAAATCTTACAATTAACATTTATTTTGTAAATTATCTTATAGAGATAAATCCTAAAATCACATAATTTCTTATTTCAATATAAAACATAATCCCAATCTCCCCATCAAAACCTATGCCATAACTGAAGTACCAAAACCTAGGAACTGCACTGCTAAAAGAAAGTAACATTTACTCAACTTCCACAGGAAGACTGTAAATCTGGCAGCAGTTTTAAGTACACATAAACCTGTAACCGAGTCTCAAAACTTAAATGAAAATTTAACCTTAATATAAAAGCTCTATGCTCTTAATAAGGCTGAGAAAATTACCATCTTTAGGTTTATATGCAATGGTATGAGTTACAGTATAAAACTGATATTGTAATTTAAAAAATGATGTAGACAATCTGGATTTCAAAACCAATATGGGTGATAAACTATATGTAAACAATAATATCTTAGAGTCATATCTTAGTTCCAATTTAAAATAAGCATTCAGCACTGGAATCTTCAGAATTTTCTAGAATCTTGAAAATCCCCATCTTCTCTTTAATAGGTTCTGAGGTATTCATTTTATCTGAGGGGAAAATATTAAAACAAGTACTTAAAAAAGTTTAAATTTAAAAATTAACCCTAAAACCACTATTCCTGTCTTAAAATGTTGCAACCATTTGGGGTGGACTGTTTTTTATCTTTGCTTATAGAGAGCATATTTGCAAAAAACTTGTCTGATATAGAACTTTTATTCAGAATATACAAAATTTTATTTGACCTAAGAACACAACTAAATTTAGAAATGAAATGTTTTGCATACTATTATGGTATAGATATTACTGGGTATAAAAAAAAATTACACATAGCATGAATGAACAAAGTTGAAAAGGATACATAATTGCACACTATACATAGTTTTTTGCACTATATTTTGTGAGATGTGTTGTAAAATAGTAATGATTTTGAACATTATCTTTGTCTTCAAAATAATTTTGTGATTTTAAGCTTATAAACCTTATTATTTAGAAATATACATTTATTACATATTACAGCTTAACAAGTGGCTTATAGTATACTACTTCCCAAAAGACTTTGGCATTCAGTTCCTATGATAAACAATATTGTCTTTCAAACCTACAATCACACCTTGTAATGCTCTTATCTACACTCAAATTTCTCCACTTGCCCTACACATTAGCACCTACAACACTTTTTAAACCAGGATTCAAATAAGGTTCACTGATTACATTTGATTACATCTTTTTAAATCACTGTTTATGTTTAAATCAGTCCTCATGACAATGAACTTTTGAAGAGTCCAAGCAAGTTGTCTGATAAAAAATTCTGTCTGTATACTTGATGCTATCATTTAGCTCTTGTTCCACATTTCCCTGTATTTCTTACAAACTGGAAATTAGTTCTAAATACTTGATTATAACCCAAGAAAAACTTTTAACAGGAATAATAAGTGATGCTGTGTACTTCATATTCAATCATCAGGTGGTAAAACAGTGTTTCTAAGTTTGGTCACTCATTTAAGGTACTATCCATCATATTAATACAATAAGTTATTAATACAACTGTTTTACTTTACTAGTTGAATTAATAGGCAATGAAGTTGTATCATGTAATTATACTATTTACTCATAATTTTTACCTATTTTTTAGCACTCACTGATAATCTTTGTCAGAATCATTTCATAGGAAAAAGTAAAATGATTCCAAATTCTATCATTTTTAGTAGTTGCTAGGCTAAGAGAAAATTAGCTACATTTTCCCTCTCCTTTATCTTTGTTAAGGTCAGAACTACACAAATTATTAAGGCTTTTTTTTAGGTTCTTAAAGTTCTAAAATTTTATCATTCCTTGAGCAGTATTTATTGGTCAAATGTGTCTGTGTCTCTTCATGTTGTGAGCAAAAAAAAAGTTTTTTCAGCCAGTCACAAAATAGAAGAAATAAAGGAAACAAAGGCTCTTAGGAAAAATGACAAAGGTTTTGGGGCGGGTAATTTATAAGATGCATGTTATTACATGCATGTTATAAGGGCATGTTATTACACCACAAATTTAAGCTATCAAACAATCCTGTATCTATAGCAGAGATGCCCACGTGAGACAATGTGAGAAAATATTAACAATTGTGTTTATATGGCAACACATCAAATATACAAAATTCTTGAGCTTATGGTATTTAAAAAATTAGTAAAAAGAATCACTGGTCACCATTGTAAGTTGCTATAAGGCATCTAAAATTGGATATAGTCTAGTTCATCAAGAAATAACTGAATAAAATCTACAATTTACAACCCTTTAGAAAATAATGGATGTTAAAACCATAAGGTAAAATAAAAGTTGACGGGGAACTTATATTAAGATCAGGCAGAACCTATCAACCAATCTTAGCTCACTAAAAATAAAGCCAGACATGTCTCCTAAACACAATGTAAAAGAACAAAGCGCTGATCATTTTGATAAAGACAGGAATGTAAACCTATGCATATTTAACTTCAAGTGAGATATACAGAAAACTACAGAAAAGCTAAAGGGCATCGCAAAGCCAATTCCAAAACGTGGGGTATTTTATAAGCCAAATAAATCAGTGTCTCCAACAAATTAAAGGCACGGCAAAAACAAAGATGTACGAATGTTACAGAAAGTAACATAGTCTATGAAATTTGGATCTTGACTGAAACAGAAAAAGATTAGATACGTAATTAAACCAATGATACTAAAGTTTGTGTCATTTCTTTTAAATGTTAATAATGACATAGTAGATATATTTAAAAATAGTCTCAGAAAAAGATGAACGAAGGATTATAATGTAATAATGCTTCAGATCTCATTTTAAAATGCCAATGAGTTAAATATTGTTGTATTATTATATACTTAATGTGAGTTCATAGAATTATCTGTTAGGTATGCATTTCAGTTTCCATTTTAAAAAGACACAAGATACTTACCAATGAGATCACTTCGATCTAACAACAACTCTAAATCTTTATCACTAATAACCTTTTCTCTTGATCCTTTAACTTCCCTATAAACAATAAAATAAAAAACAAATAATCATATTGTTGAAAATGAGGGAGGTCAGAGTGGAGACCCAAAACTTTTCAGCAGATAATTGGACATCCTCACATAGAAGGGTCACAAGGAAGGGTCAGCCAGGTACAGTATAGCACCGACAAAACACACAATATTTCTCCGGTTCCTTGAGGATTCCTCACCCCCAGATTTCATGACCCCGGTTCTACCTTACAAATCAAGTTAGACCGGAATTATGTATAGTGGTACAGACAAGAGCTCTTAACACATGGACTCCAGGACATACAAACCCCTGAGGAATAGAAATGGGAGTAACAATACCAGGAGTGTAGGGGGAATGTGGGAGAGAAGTGGGAGAAAAGGGGAAGCCAATCTCAATGATCAACATCTCTCTCTCACTCACACTCACCCGAACAGGAAGAGCAACAGAAACTTGGGAGAAGGGAGACAGCAGTCGCTATAAGATATGAAAATAAACATTTATCCTTTTCAAGGGGTCACGAGGTCGGGGAACGGAGGGAAAAGGAGGAGCTAATACCAAGGGTTCAAACAGAAAGAAAATGTTTAGAACACGAGGAGGGTAAGATATGTATGTACAAATGTGCTTGATAGAATTGTTATATGAGCCTCTAACAAAATTATTTTTAAAAATAAATGTTAAAAGACTATATTAATAAATCAAAGCAATAAATTATTTTTTCTAAAATTAAAATTACAATCTTACCTTTCATAATCTCTAGATTTTAATAGTTCCATTAATTCTGTGGGATCTAAGAAGGTCTTAGATTGACTTAACCCAGATTTGCCACCTTTGAAATGATCTAGAAAAAATTATCAATAAATTCAAAACATTAACACTTCTTGTGAAGCCATAATTATCATACAATTAAAAGCTGTAAGAATAAACCACATTTTTAAAAAAGACAAAACCAATTTTAAAAAAGACAAAACCATTATAAACCTTCATTCATCTTTGGGTGAAAGCAACCAAAACTCTCTTACTATGCAGATGGTTTACCCACTTTGGACAGTTTGGTACCATATATACGCGAGGATAAGCCAATCCAAATATACGCCGAGGCACCTATTATTACAAAAACTGCATTAAAAATGTGCTGAAAAACACAGCTTACACTCGAGTATAAACGGTAATTTCGTATGGTTAAACATAAATGCATCCTATGACGAGGATACATACAGGAGTCTCAGTTGCACTAGAGGCTGCTAATGACAAAGCTGGTATTTCTAAAACCACCAGCTCTCTGCAGGAGACTGATGAGGCTGTCACACTCCTTTAAAAACTTAAGTTTTAGAAACCTACGGAGCAGATCTACTCTTTCCTAAATGATCACCATACGTCTGGGTTTATTGGGGGTGGTTTTGGTGACAATGAGAGCATTTCCTTTATAAAAATAACAAAAATTCATAGTATACAAGAGATAGTTCATGCAAAAATTACTGTTATTTACTTTTGTGGATGATCAACTTCTCCAACTTTCTTTTAGCAGCTGCTCGTTCTACAATTTTTTGATCAATCGTATTTGCTGTAACGAGGCGATATACAACAACTGGCTTTGTCTGACCAATTCTATGACATCGATCCTGGGCCTGAAGATCAGACTGGGGATTCTTAAAAATTAAGAAAGAAAATACTATAACAACAGTATTAGGTTCAAATTAATTTCAATTTGTGATCTATGGATAAAGTCAAAATACATTATCTAATAAGCTTATCATAGGTGTCTTAACTTTGAAGCTTCAGATAAAATTATCATATCATATCCTAATAATCGGGGGGGGGGGGGCCTTAATGTCCCAGAAGGAACATATTCAAGTTGTTTATATGCAAAAAAAATCCCCAAATGGTTCTTAAATAGTATTTGGTGCCTTTTCTGAGATTAAAAATTCAGAATGAAAATAAACACGTGCTAACAATACACTTCCTCAGGACAGTTCCACCCTGCCCTACAGGGTGGCTCTGCAGTCAGTTTTGACATGATGGCAGGGAACGCGGTGTTCCAGGGGGATGATAATGTTCTTTAACATCAACTGACAATGACACCTCTAAGGTGAACCAGGCATATAGAAAGCATGCATGCATGAATAAGGGTTTGCACTTAATTCAAGCCCCAATGTAAGAACAATTCGCTCTTATAACACGGCCCTAGTGATGTTTGCCCTCATGAAGAGATCACTAAAAATATGGGTGCTATAGCAAAGTGCACTGAGGAAACTAGAAGGTGCACCGGTATCAGAAAGAATAGTGTGTCGGGGGTCTTAAAGACTTGTTTTCAAACAAGCAGCCATTTTAAGGTGGCAACAACTAAATCCACATGGAAGAAGCACACCAACCAGCCTTGTGATCCAAGGATTGAAAACAATATAATCCAAATCTAAAGGAGGAAAGGCACCCGAGCTTCAACTGTGAACTGCTGGACTGAAGAAGGCTATGTATGACCGTAAGAGCCCAACATCTGTTTGCAGGGTCCATACATACAGCCTCTGGTGAATGAATTCCCTCTGATAACAGTGGAACAAATCTGTTAACATGCAGGGAGCACTGTAAAATCTATTATAGTAGACAAAGTTAGGTCAAACTGTTAATACCATTATCCCTCTTTTGATCCATTTTAAAGCTTTCAGTTAAAACTGTATCTATAAATGAGAAATACAAGTGAATTAAGGCCCTGGTTAAACCCCTGACCAGGGACCAGGGATGTGACTAGTTTTGCTATAAAGCAAAATGCTTAGAAAGTGGACGGTTACAGATGCAGTTAGGTTAAAATTTAGTGCCCTCTCATTTGATCTGTTTTGTGATACATTTAAAATTTGTTAATATTCTTTTTTTTAATTGAGGTTTTTGTCTGCTTTACTTTTGTTATTGTTGCATAGTTGTTTTTTTTTAATGTTGTTCAGTATATGAAATTAAAGATAGGTAAATCTATAGAGATGTAACTTGACTGATGGTTCCTTGGGGGTATGGCAGGGGAGGTTAGGGGAAATGGGAGGCTAATAACAATGATTACAAGAATGAGGAAAATGTTCTAAAAACTGTGATATTGCATAACTTCTTGAGGTGATTAAACTACTGAAGTGCATTACATGTCAATTATATGGCTATAAAACTATTAAAAAATTTATGAGAAAAATAATTTATGGAGCCAGAAATACATAAGAATATCTACAGATACTTACCCAATCACTGTCATAAATGATAACCGTGTCTGCTGCAGTCAGATTAATGCCCAGACCACCAGCTCGTGTGCTCACTAGGAAGAGAAACACTTCTGGGTCTGTGTTGAAGCTGTGTATCTAAACGCAAACAATGCCAACACAGGAAGGAATTGAGAAACTACAAAACGGAGGGAACTGCTTAATCACAGCTGTCAAAGATTTAGCCCACTATTGCAAAAAAACCCACTTTATATTAACGTCATTTTCCCTGCAAAAAAAAATCTATTTTATGACGAAAACCTTAACTAGGAGTAAGCACAACAGAAAACATGGGGCAAGGGAGACATCAGTCGGTGTGAGATATGAAAATATTAAAAATTTATAATCTAGTAAGGGGTGATGAGGGGGCAAAAAAAAGAGGAGCTGATAGCAAAGGCTCAACAGAAAATAAATGTCGAGAAAAGAATGAAGGCAAAATATGTAAAAAATTCGCCTGATGCAAGCGATGTATGGATTTTAACAAGAGTTTTAAGAGTCCCCAATAAAACGAAAGAAAACCACCCGAGGCACCTAATTTACCACAAAAACTGCATTAAAAATGTGCTGAAAACTCGGCATATACACAAGTATATACGGTAATTTTTTTCACCAGAGGTTATGCAAGCAAATGGACAAAATGAACTAACAAATACAGTTACATGTTTACAGAGAAATGTGCAATAAAGAGAAATGTACACTCGTTAATTTGGAAGCACATCAAAACATAGAATAGGCTATCTATGTTTATGACATATATGTAAAAGTGGAAAAATGATGCCAAGGGCATGATTGATAATGTTCTAACAGATTATATCACATATATGCTCAACGGGCTATTGCTGTGTACAATAGCTTACTGGGCATACATGTATAAACCTGTCAGTAAAGCATCAATGGTAGTTTCTAGGGGTTATAGACAGATACAAGGAGTTGTTATGAAATGCTTTCTATGTGCACATTTGAAAGTTCCCATAGTGAAGTGCTATGGGAAGAGTTAGCACAAAAAAGGTTTCTGAAAGAAAAAAAAAAATGTTTCTGTTAGTCTAATATTTTGACGATGATGGGTAAGTGGTTATTAGGTAATTTTATGCCAGGCACTGTATATAATTTGTGAATCAAACTTCAAGGTGTATTAGTATTAAATCAAATGCTTATCTATTTTGGACCCTGCCAGAGTTCATGTTTTCTACCTTTCTATCAAATAGGGAATTTACCTGGGAACACCATCTCAGATATCTCGATAGGACTTACAAAAACCCTGTACAACATAAGGAACCTTACATTTTCTTCTCTCTCTGAATAAGACATGGATCCATCAAGGCGGCTAAATTTGAAATTTCTAAAATGGCAGTAATCCATCAAAATGTCCAACATTCTTGTCATTTGTGAAAAAAGAAGTACCTGAAATTTAAGTACATTTTAGTATAAACAGTGAGTGATAAAAAATGGACAGTCAAAATTCCAAGCAAAAGTTGTACCTTGTGGTCTCTGCTTTTCAGTTCTGGCAGCATCCGATCCAGTATTAAGAATTTCCCAGAACTGGTCACCAATTCTTCATCAATCTTTAAAAAAAAAAAAAAAGGCAATCAATATAATTACTAATGATTTATTGAAAACCTTGTGAACAGCTCAAATTCAATACCAAAAAGTCTAAATATGAAACTTTAAAACTGACCTGTTTTACAATTTCTGAAGACATTCGGTGAAAGCAATAGCCATACATACACAAAATTACCTATATTTATACTCATCTATCCTCTCAGCCTTCTCCCAAAAGTTTTAGGTACGAGAACACCAGTATAAAATTATTGTGTCTAAGCTGAAGTTCACACGGCAAAACTGAATACACTTTCAATTAAACAACACAATATTAAAAAAAACCTAACTGCCCCTTAGTTCTTTTAGTTTGAATATGGTGCTAGTTTACTGGTAAAGGAACTAAAATCTTCATAGAGCAAATAAAACAATACTGATTTTAAATAACAAGATTTTAAACAAAATATAGGCTACCTCAGACATTGCAGTTTGATTTGTAAAACACCGCAATAAAGCAAATAGCAATAAAGTGAATTGCACAAAATTTGGGGTTTCCCATTGGTTGACACTACACTATAGAATCAATTAAAAATGGATTAGCATTCTGGGAAAGTTTGAAACAATATGAGAATTACCAAGATGTGACGCAGGGCTGCAAAGTGAGAACACACTGCAGGAAAAAATAGCACTGTCTGACGCACGACTGCCAGAATGTCATTAAAAATGCATTGTATAGAAAGCGCATTAATGTGAAATACAATAAAGTAAGGCATGCCGATAGCATTTTTCCCAATATGTTTACAGAAATGTAAAGAATTAAATTATTAATTGTTACTCACCTTAAACTCTTGAGTGACCGGGTCTATAGGATACTCAATCAAATACGGATGGTTACAGCATTTACGAAGTAGCATCATTATATTCTGCAGCTTCAGATTAACTTCTGATTCAATAGGGATATTCACTTCCACAACAGCTCTACCAAACACATAATCCATAAAGATGAGAAATTTGAATACCACACTTAAAGAATATTTTAATTTACTTTTACCCATACACACTTTTCTCGGTCCACTTCTGGTTGCATCTGATTGATTAATTTTTCCAATTCATTAGGGGAATCATCTGACTCATTGTAATTTATTGATTTTCTTGTTCGCCGTTTTGGTCGGCCAGTGGGACTTGGCTCAACTGTTTCTTTCTAAACAACAAATATGTTTAATAAGTTATACCCTTTAAATTTAAAATAGAAACAAAATAAGATAAATATTTTAGTGCACAAAAAGTATTTTAGTATCTAAAAAAATTGTCTTTGATCACCAAATTTCATAATTTCCAATCATCAAATTTCATATTAGGGAGTCATAATTTATCATTAAATCCAAATGTGTGAAATTTAACACTTATGACAACATGAGCAAGAGTCCAGTTGCTACCTATATTTCAGTGGAGAAAATTAAAGATGGGCAAAATATTTTTGAACTTGTATGAAAGATAGCATCTCTCACACATACACACACACACACACACACACACACACACACACAAAAGATAATCACATTCTATCCCTATCATAATAAGAGGACTATAAAGAGATTATTTTTTTAATGAGTACTAGTTTTCTTGGTTATCAATAACCTCCTACAGAGAGATTTCATATTTAGAGCAAAGCACCCTTGGTACAGACTTTCAGACTATGTTGTTTTTGTTTTATTTTATCCAAACATGAGTTAATCTAGAACAATGTCAAAATTTATAATGACTGTAAATGATGAGAAAGCAGTTAGTACTAACAGCTTTACTAACAACAGTACACACAGCTTGAAATTAAGTAGGAACACAGAATTACTAAGACTTTTATTACAAGCCTTATGCCTTAATTACAAATTTACTTTTATGAAGTCTTAAATTCAAGTGTGAATTTTAAGACTGAAAATATTTTCTATGCAAAGTCTCATTTACAGTATATATATAAATCACTCTCATTCTACCTCACTAGATCCAAACATGTTCGCAATTGTCCGATTCACAATGGCTGTATAAAAGGTTTCTTGTTTTTTTGAAAGTGGTGCATAAACCACAACTTCTCTCTTAGGAGGCACTTCAAGGGCAACATCAGATTTCAATCTTCTCAGTAAAAAAGGTGTTAGAATCTAAAATTTAAACACAAACAAAAATAAACATGAAATGTACTTACATTTTTAGAGAACACTCTCTCATACCCACCTTCTTTCATGTACCAAATATACTCGAGTATAAGCCGACACAAATATAAAGTGAGGCACCTAATTTTACCACAAAAAACGGCATTAAAAATGTTGCTGGAAAACAACTAATACACGAGTATATACGGTAAATATTACTAAGAATAATATTTGGTGTTATTATGTAATACCAAATTACCCAATAAATTTGTAAGATATTAGGTAATTTAATATCTAATTAGGTATTAAATATTAGGAAATATCTAGAGGTAAAATACTATCTTTAGATAGTATCTAAAGGTAAGATAAAACATTTCCTTGAAATATTCCCAGATCAGACAAAGAGCATGTCACATTCACTAGAACTAACAATTGTAGCACTTCACAATCTCCCCAACCCCCTCAAAAAGCCCACAAATATTTCTGGTATGGTACAGATTATGTAGTAGTTTGTGAACCTAAGTCTATGGTTCAAACCTACTAGTTGCTCCATGAGAGAATGAAGGGCTACATGTCCCAGTGAAGATTTGCAGCCTGTGCTCTGGTGGCTTACATGTTGGGCTACAACCAAAAGGTCAGCAGTTCAAAACCACCAGCTGCCTCAAGGGAGAAGCTTGATCCTCCCATAACTGGATACCTGCAGTCAAACACGTACCACTGAGAGTTTTGAAAATGATGGTAGCAGCAATTGTATAATTAATTATGCTGGGTCTAACATCCCTCACTGACCCATAGCCCTAGGGGGGACAACACTGGAGACACAGTGTGGGAATTGAGCCTGATCTGATGCCGCAACATCAAGGCAAA